ATGCATTCTGGTATTTTTTGAGTGAATAATGAAATTTTTCAATAGTAGGTGAAAACAGGTGGAAAATCGTAGTTTTTGAAAAACTTGGTTTTCACCAGCTTCTTAAATCTTTTTCTAAAAACAAATAGTGCCATGACATTCAGTGTGGCCGATTATCTATGTTCCATCTAATTCCCAAGTTACAAAAAGCCAGTAGACACCAGTCCTGGAGCTGCCAGGAAATCCAATACCGATTCAACACTTTTTTGTAGCGGAATTCCAGCATGCTTACTCTTCTGGACAATTTGGTAAGAGCTTTTCAAAAATACTTTTTCTTTCTTCAGCTAACCACGCGGAAAAATAAAAGTTGTAAACCCTATAACTTCGAGAGAAAATATTTTCTATGAAAAAAAGTTCAGGATATATGTAACTAAACGAGCTCTACAACATATCTCAAAATGAGGGAAAGTTGCTCCCTTAAACCTGACATTCGTTGAGCTCTTTCTGCTAACGTTCCGTTAACAACCGTCTATTCCTTAACATCCTTAGCGTTTAAAAGCCTTTCATTACCACTTTACTGCCATCCGCCAGAAGTTACACTTAGATGCTCCTATACTTCAAATTTTTTAGCTCATGGATATTAGCATATAGTGCAAATACTCTTACTTATCTTTAGTACTTCTGATGCTATTAATGTTAAAATGAAATTTTTCAATAGTAGATGAAAACAGGTGGAAAATCGTAGTTTTTGAAAAACTTGGTTTTCACCAACTTCTTAAATCTTTTTCTAAAAACAAATAGTGCCATGACATTCAGTGTGGCCGATTATCTATGTTCCATCTAATTTTCAAGTTACCAAAAGCCAGTAGACACCAGTCCTGGAGTTGTCAGGAAATTCAACACCACACCTAAATCGCTATAAGATATGCACTTTTTTTCTATTTTCTCTCTAATTTTTCTCCGGTTTCGGATTTAGATTTGCGTTTTCCATTGCCAGTTATTAAAGGAACCCATCATCCCACTAATTCTATTGTGTAAAATCACGGGGGGAGGCGTCCGAACGTGGACTATGTCTCTACTCGGAGAACAGTCCGTAGAAAAAATAAATACAGCATCTTGTAGTGCTTGAAAAGCTCTTTCGAATGATGTATTTCATGACCCCTTTCACTCTACTATTAATTTCAAAAATAAACTGAAATGGTCCATCTTGATTAAAATCAATAATAATTAGCACTAATTAGTGATTGAACATGTATGACATTATGATCTATCTTAATTTCTTGAAGTATATTGTAACTATGGAGCATATACTATGCCCCTGCATCATAGCGATGACTTCTAACATAAACTTAAAATTTTATAACTCAGCCACTCATAAACTGATCGGTACAACATTTTGTGGATATATGTATTTCAGTGTCCTCTACAAAGTGAGATAGGTCTGAAGGCACATATGGGGGGGCGGAGAATAGATTACCCCCCTTAAAATCGTCTTGTATTAGCATATTTCATAAATTTCCGATGAGGTCAATATTCTAATCCTATGAGAAGAATGAGACAGATGATAGTGACATGTCACCAGATGGCGATAAATGTATGTATGTATAAGTGCAAAAAGTTTGAATATATGCATATTTGACCTAATTCAGATTTTGATTGCTAATCTGTGTAAGCCTGTTTCTTTAAAAGTACAGTGAAATGAGCTACAGTTGCATTTTCAAAATTTTTGTAGTCACTCTACGTTACTCTTATCATATGTTCTCTAGTCAACTATTGTATTTTTCCCCACTACAATATAAAAGCATCCTTAAAAAAAGCAAACTGCCATACACGGAACTTTTTAAACAAATAGACCGTATGGTTGGTTACTTTTAGAAAGATATGAACAAAAAAAGCATAAGTCAGTTTATCTTCAGTGACAGCGTACGATGAATTTTGGCACTTTTTTTTCTTTTGAAACCTTTAACACACTCTGTAATATATAATAATCACGGTCTCCTTAAGTGCTTTCCAAACGTAATTAAAATCAACTATTATCAAAGAGTTAGTTAATCATAAGGAAAGGTACATTTATTTTCTCATTCGTATAAAAATCAAACATGCTTTCGTTCTTTGGTAGAGTCCAATTTTTTTTTTCTACAACATGATTTTTTCCGGAATGTATGTATAATCGAGAAAAACGGTGAACGCAAGTGAATAATTGATTGATTAAGTGATCAAATGAGTAATTGAGTGATTAATTTTTCAATTAATTTCTATTATACAGAAATATATTGTCTATATATAAAAGTTCTTCAATCGAAACTTTCTCTAACTGCCGATGTTTTTTTTCTTTTTGTATATGAATCGTTTTCACCTTCTTCAGTACAATTGTGCAGATATTGTCGCCAACGGGTACTATTTTCAATTAAGTAAAAAATTTTCGGAGAAAAATATAGATTAGAATTGTATCTTACCTTGAATTTCTTCTATACGATTCATTGTACACAGACCATATCTTTCAACTTTTGTGAGTTATGTGTATTTTCACTTTTGGAATATCATTCTGCAGGAGCTGACAATTTGAATTTCGACAGAATTTGATATATCAGTTATTCTCATTGTTTTCCCATATTCGTTATCGACGCATATTTTTATATTTTTCTCTGTTAGTCCATTAGTTTACCATGCAACTCAGTGCATCTCTTTGGATAAAAATCAGATAGAAGCAACAAAACTATACACCATTTTGTTTTTAAATATTATATTAATTAGTGAACACCAATGTTTACTGTTGAACAAAGATTTTAGATAGCGGGAACAACGTCTTACGCATACGTCCAAGTTCTTCAGTTTTTTTAACCAGTATAAGTGTATCGTTTATCCGATGAAATGTTGCTCATTCTTTTATCTAATGAATCATTTCTGGACATATATTTCGTAGAAAACATGACAAAGCATGACAGGATATATTCAAATTTACATACAACAAAATAAACCATTTTAAATTTCAATTGTTTTGACAAGTTATAGAATCTACACATATCGAGAGATTTAAATGACAAAAAAAAACGAGAACACAGTTAATTATATTGAACAGTGAGAACACAAAAAAAGAATGTGTTATGCATACAACAACAAAACACGAAAGTTTATCTAATCTGCCAATAGTCAGAGAAATAATGAGCGAGAGAGAGAGAAAGACAGATTTTTTTTTTAGTTTTCTTTATTACAATTCAATTCTGTAATAGAAAAAAATTCAACAAAAAAACAAATAAAAACAAAAAAATTAATCTGATAAAAGCCGAAAAAGTGAGAAACAAAATAATATTCTCGATTTATTCAATAACAATAGCAAGCATACAAGTACATATTGATTTGTATTATTTTTTCTTTCGTTTAGCCGGTGAACTAGCAGCGGGTGTTATAAATGCATCGGGTTTTCGTTTTTGACTACCATTGCTCTAAATACAACAGAAAGACGAGGTTAACGAATTAATTGAAACATTTTATGAATATTTAAAACTAACCTTTGATATTGTAGTTGATTGTGAATTCGACATATTTGGCTTTGATCGTCCTTTTTTCTTTTCAGCACGCTCTTTTTCTTCTAATTCTTGTTCTCGTTCAATAAATGTAATTAAAGTATTACATCGACGTTGTAATTCCTGTAAACAAACGATGAAAGTACATTAGTTCAAAAACATCCTTTTTCTTTTGTATCGGATACAGAGAATTAACGTACCATTGATGTACGTGATTTTAAAAACCAATCAAAACGAAATTGTGGCGATTGTCTAACGGCATAACGTAATTCTTCATAAACATTTTCTTTATCAAAGCCAAGCTTATGAAGCATACATAATAAAAATCGATCTTCTTCTTCAGTATAATTTTTTCCCTTATTTGTACCGTATTGAATACGTAGTTGATGAAATGGTGCTTTATAACGTGCCATCTAAAAATAACAAAAATAAATAAATACATAAAAACTATTTAAATATAAATGAACTTACTTTTGTATCAAGAGCTTTTTTAATACTAATGCGTCGATGTATTTTTGTTTCACCACGTTCAATTTGCGCCATAATACGTTCGATATCGGTTAATTCATGACAACGATCCCAAAAAATTCGTGCATAAGCCATAACTTCTTCTGGCGTTTTACCTTCAACATCTTTACATATATTTTCTAAATCATCCCGGCCATATTTTTCATTTGCCTTAATAAATTGATTAAAATCACGTTTTGTCCAATTTGTAAAACCTTGTTGTAACAATTGTTCTTTTTCATATTGTTCATCTTCATTTAACGATTCAGATTCATCAATTTTCTTTTGTTCTTCTTGCTGTTGCTGTTTACCTTCATTTTCATCTAAATCTGGATCACGTACAGCTTTATAACCTATTTGCTTTCGATATGCATAGATTTCACGATCTAATAATTCAAATAATCTTGGTGGAAAAAACTACAATTACAAAATAAATTATTTAGCTAATTAGTTCGCTGATAAAAATGTCTGAAAATACCTGAAAATCTTGTACATTTGGTTGACGTGGTGGTCGTGGTGCTTTTGGTGCACGTGGTTCTGTCATTCGTAGTGCTTCACGAAAATAAGCATCAACAGCGTAATTCGCCTTACGTTCACGTTTTGGTGGCTAGAAATTCAGATAGAAATGAAAAAATTCAACTGCAGATACGTACGCATAGTCGTTATACCTCAATCCATTTAATACCAAGACCAGACGATTGTTTTTCACGATAATCTTCGCCTTCAAATTTATAAATAGAGCCAGTTTCTTTTCCATCACCATCAGTTGTATCCGAATTATCAATGGTAAATTTTCTCAACTGATTTTCGCCCAATGCTTCAAATTTCTTTCGTGATTCTTGCGTTTTTTGTTCACCTTCAGCTAAAACCAAATCAATATCTTTGTCTAATTCACTTTCGCCTTGTTTCGATGAGAATACATGTGATGCTCCATGACGAATCATTGATAACATTTCATCTTTTCCTAATTTTGTCGATGCATCTTGTAAACGTCCTTGTTGAATAACAACATGATCAAGACGTAATTTCATTTCAGCACGTTCACAAATTCGTTCTTCAACGGTATGTTCAGTTATCAAACGAAATACACGAACCTGAAAATAAACATTTCAAACTAGATGCAATTAAAATTCAATAAAAAAATGTTCAACTTACGGTTTTTGTTTGTCCTATTCGATGCGCTCTATCAGTGGCTTGTAAATCAACTTGAGGATTCCAATCACTATCGTATAATACAACAATATCCGCTGTTGCCAAATTGATACCTAGACCACCAGCTCTTGTACTTAACATGAATAAAAATTTTGTACTACCGGGTTTATTATAAGCATCGATCGACGCTTGACGATCCTCATGTGATGTTTGACCATCTAATCGACAATATTCAAAATTTCTCCATATACAATAATCTTCTAATATATCCAACATTCTCGTCATTTGACTAAATAATAAAACACGTGATCCTTGTTCTTTAAGTTTAATCAATAATTTATCTAAAATAACCATTTTTCCACAATTTTCAATTAAATGTTTATCAGTTGTATATGGTGGACCAGGTTCAGCTCCATCAAAAATATCTAAATAAAAGTAAAAACAAAAACGTTTTTACACTACTGTGATTAGAAAACATTGATATTACACCTTACATGGATGATTAGCACATTTTCTCAATTGCATCAAAATATTTAACAGACGAACTTTATCTAATTTTCCGCTTGCACTATTCAATATATCAATATCTTTCATTAAAATTTTTGTATACCATTGTCGTTGAAGAGGTGCAAGACCAACATATAATTTTGTCTCAACTTTTGGTGGTAATTTTTTTTCAACATCACTCTTTAATCGTCTTAATAAAAATGGTTTCAGGATACCATGTAAACGTGAAACTAATTCTGTATCATCTGCAAGACATTTTTGTGTATCAAACCAGGCATTAAAATCATCAGCCGAATCAAATACATCGGGTAATAAAAAATTCAGAAGTGCCCATAATTCATGAAGATTATTTTGTAATGGTGTGCTACAAAGAAATAAAATGAGATCATTTAATGGAACGCTTATTCACCCATAAATGATTTATTTTACCCAGTAATTAATAAACGATTTGTTGATTTTAATAATCGAACCATTTTACTTAATTTTGATTGTTCATTTTTGATTCGATGTGCTTCATCAATACAAATATAACGCCAGTTATACTTTTTCAATATAGCACTTTCACGTAATACACATTCATAAGATGTTACTAACACATCCCAATCATCAGGTTCTATTTCTTCTCGAATAATACGATTACGTTCTTCTTGTAAACCAATTAAACAAACAGGTTTTAATGATGGTACCCAACGTTGAAATTCATTCATCCAATTTTGTAATGTTGATTTTGGTGCTATGACCATATGAGGTGAACCAGCATCACGATAATGTTTCATATAACCAAGTAATGATATTGTTTGCAGTGTCTTGCCTAGACCCTAAAAATTACACTTTTGTTTAACAGTAATAATTATCAAATAAAATGCCTTTTTTCTTGGGTTTATTCTCGAATCAGCGCTTCTTATAGAAAATAGCTCTACGAAATGCATACATTTCAAGACAGATCGTGATTAATGCGAGAAGAAAAAAAGAAATACACTTTTCTACAACTTCCGGATAAATCCTAGGAGAAACATAACTGCTCACCATTTCATCAGCTAAAATACCATTGATACCATTTTCATACAATGAAATCATCCAGTTGAGACCTCGTACTTGGTAATCGCGCATTTCGCCACCTTTTACAACTACAAAGTAAGAATAATAATAAACATATGTGTGCTAATTCACTATATATTCCACTTACACCATGGTGATTCATCAAATCTTGTTATATCCGGTTTTTCTGAATCTTTTGCATCATGCAATAATTCTTCATCTTCCTCTTCTTCGGTCATCTAAAATAAGAAGCAATTGTTATAGCACAAATATTAGCTGATATTAATTTATAAATTTACTTACACGATGACGATGACTAAAAAAATTTGAAAAACACAAAAATATTTAGTGCCTCACTTGTGTACAAGTATTATTTAATACTTACTCTCCACTAGAGATTGATTTTTGTTTTTCTGCTTTGACTGGCAATTTCATTTTTAACGGTGATGATTGACCTTTATGATGTTTATTTAATGTACCATCTTGCACGAAATGTGAAAATATTTCTGTTTGTTCAAGTAAGTAATTAAAACGTTTGGCTTGATCTTGATTCTGAATTTGATTAAAATAATAGCAATCTATAGAAAGAAGAAATTAAAACGAATCTATGCACGTACAAGTCGGCTTTGATAAACAGGATCAAGGATTGGACGCTCTTGTTTTGGTTTTGGTTTCTTTTTTGATGTTGTATATTCTTCATCATCATCTTCTTCGGGTAATGGATCATCGACCCCACCAAGCTCGCTCTTAAAAACCAATTATAAGTGTTTACACATAGTTTGCAAAGGAGAGCTTTGCAAAAAATATTCAAGGTCAAACTTAATTTTGTCACTCCAGTTCCCGATCAAGAAACAAAATGTTTGCTACTTTAGCTACATTCGAATTTTCGCTATTTTTGCACAAAAAATTTGTTTTTAAGGTGCAAAATAAGGAAAAACCCGTCGACAGATCCAGTTCTTTAATGACCAACAACAGGTCTGGACCCCCAAAAACATGTACTCGCACATCTGTAATTGAGAACTACCTCCAATTCATCAGCATCTTTTTCTTCTAGTTTTTCTTTTTGACGTTTGACAACAGAAGTACGTTTTGAAGAAGCAGTTGCCGATGTACTAGGATTATTTGAATTCACTTCCGAAGAAGCATTTGTTGATGCTGTGACACCATTTTTGTCACTTAGGTTTTCACTCATGTTTTTTTACGTTCTTCGTTTAATCTAAAATGAAAAGATACAAAAAACTGATAAATTACACTCATTGAAGAATCAAGCACACACATATTTATATATGTGTATTCTTTTCATTGCTGGTAATAAATTTTTTTCTAAACGATTTTTCTGTTTGAGTAGCTAGTTAATGATAGAATCAATAAATATTGGTATTTCTTATTAAATATTTAGGTCTCTACTCGTAAAGCATGTTCATCAATTTTGTATTCGACTCAGAGAAGAAATCGAACGATAAATAAGTCTTTTAATAGATTTTATCGAATATAAACACTCACTTCGTTAATATAATTAAACAAAAATCGTAGAAAATAAATTAGACCTTTAGAAGATAGTAAAAAAATAGTTGTCATATGGAACAACAATAACAACAACAACAAATATGAAATTCATTTAATGCAAAAGCAAGTATAACAACGATAAACAATCTTAGGGAAAAGTAGGATGATAAATGTCAAGTATGTTAAGACTATTTGTGAAAGACAGTAGGTGATTAGATTATTATATTATACAAAAAACCAATTTTTGGAAACTGTAGAGAAAATAAAAAACTCTTGTATTTATACACATACATATATATATATATTGTAAAACCAAGTAGGCACCGCACCAATAATCATATTTATTAAAATTACAAAAATAGAAAAAAAAAAAGATGTAAACAGGAACGACTAGAGTGATATTTGGAAAAAATATATTCAGTAATAAACAATTCAGAAAATAACTTTAACTTCAATTAATATGGCCATCGTTAAAAATATTACATAATAAACAACAAGCACAAAGCCAAACCATCGACTATAATTAAATTTATTTAATGGAATAAATATGAGGGTAGCAACCAAACTTCCAAATAGAAAATAAGCTATAAGATTTTGTAACGCTGATTCTTTTATCTAAAATAAATAAATTGTTTAATTATAGGCATGTTACTAGAATTTCTATAAATTTGTTTTTTATTTCGTCTCAAATGAATCAATACTGACCTCAAACGGTGCTCCATTTCGAATTGTAACAATAGAAAATGGAATTCCAAGACCAATTAAAAAGTCTAGTGTTATTAAGTTAAAAGAAATATATTTTTATATTTTTTCATGTTGTCGAAGTGTAGGGGGATGATATCAATGGAATATAATATCATCTGTGGAGATCGACACTCGTTTTATGTTGCGTAATATAAAATATCGTTAATCTATTTTAAGAGTTAACAATTAATTTCTTGGCTAATGCACGAAGAAATATATCACGCGAACTGAACAAGATTCGAACATCAAACGTCATGTTTTAGAATCCAGTTAGTTAGTCACGAAGCTATTCTTGAATATTGAAATTTAGAAAGAAAAGGATACTCATTAATGGTCCACCGTAACAAGCTGAAATACCCATATTTGGATAGCCTTGTTTTGCTGATACAACATTAGAAACATAATCTTAAATGAATAATACAATTGAAATAAAACAGAGTATTCACTGATTTTTACGTTAGATATACTCACCACTGAGACTATTTCCCCATGCTAAAAATGTTAATCCAACTATTGTATTGCTAATATTAAATACAATACCAAATGCTGTGAGAAGATTAACAATTTCATTTGCAATTGAATAAACCCATACAACAGATACAGAAAAAGCAAGGAATGCAAATGCCTAAAAAAGGTGAGTAGATAAGATATGAGTATATTTACAATTACGCATCATACCGAGTGCAAACGAGGTTTTGAATGATAATCAGTTAAAATAAGAACAACAAAACACAGTATTGTACCCAATATGAGGACAATTGCCCAAATAGGAAATACATGATTGATTTTAGCAAATCCAACTATAGAAAATAATCATAAGAAACTTGAATGACTAAGTAGATGAACTTACTTTGGGTTAATAAAGAGATTGCTACTGGTCCAGAAACAAGATGAAATGAATTGAGTAATTTATTCCAATTATGTTCTGGTTTTTCATAGTCAACTATGGGCGTTGTAAAATGTAGAATAATATTTACAGGCATCTGAAAAAAACAAATATACGAACGGTTGCATCTACAAGAAATAAAGTTTGATATTCAGTTTTACCTTGATTACGGTTAGAACTTTACTTAGGCAATTTTGTTCTGCCCATGGTGTATCCTCATTTGGAAGAAACGCTTTTCGCAATGACAACGCAAATGTTACATCGGGTTGAACATAACTATCATCTGGTAAACAATTACCGACAATGCCATTGCCGGCTTGGTTATCATTTATCGATTCGCCATCAACGTGTATTGATCCTAAAAGAGAAAAAAACACACGTTTCTATTCATGTCAATAATTCTCAATGCTAAGTCTAGCTTACCATAATTTGTTCGATTTACTGATCCTGCAGCTTCCGTTTGTAAAGCTTGTAGCAGAGCTCTTTGTTCTTTTATTCGACGATTAATGAAATACCCGCCAATAAGAACAATCAAATAAATAATGTAAAGAACGATAAAACCTTAAAGAATCAAACGTTTTTGTGAATATCAGAACGAAGAGAGTAAATTATGCCAAATACATACGTACTTAAACTTTCGTAAACGTAAATTCTTCCGTCATACATGATATAATAGGCAGCAAATGCAGCTACCAAGAAAAAGATTATATCACGTAATAAAGGACGTTGAATAGACCGAAAAGGTGTCAATAATCCAATTGTTCCAGCCACGACAGTGGTAACAAAAACTCCAGCACCTTACAAAACAACAATATTCATAAAACAGGCATATTCGAAAAGAAATTTCGCTATTACCGAAGAGAGCACCAAACGCTAAACCAGCATCTCCATCCTTCGCACTTAGTACGGCGGCTGTTGCTGAAAAGATATCTGGTGCACCGTTGCCAAATGCCAAAAATGTAACACCCTATAGATTTTTAAAAATTCTTAAAGTAAAGGTAATAAAAGATCTTTTCAAAAATATTTACGGCAATATTCTCTGATAAATTCATAATTTTGGCGATAACACGTAGAGCAGGGCAAAAACTAAAATAAATAAAAAGGAAAGATTGATATAAAGAAATTCTATAAAATCTAATTTTACATACTAAGCGTCAGCTGTAACACCCAATGCGATAAACAGAACGATTAGCCATAAAATCTAAATAGAATAATCACAATAAATAACGCCAACAAAAGGTACAGACACACTAACACTCATTCTCGAGAAATTATTATTAGTCGAGCAAACAAGTCTCAGTCATCATTTCTACTTGTTTTGTCATCTCTAATATGAAATCGAATGTTGTGTTTCGCTTGGAAAACCATTCGAGTTTTCTGCTCCAAATTGACTTACCAATACGATAAAACCCAAAGCTTGTAATTTTTCCCCAATAATGCAAAACAAAAATACAAGATAATATCCACCATCAAAGTGGCAATCCTTCGCTGTTTTTATAAAAGAACAGGTGTCATTGTGGAATTGATGGTATTGACGACACTAATTAAAAAGATAAATAATAAAGCTTAATACACTATTATGAGTTTTTAACTTACATCGTAGTCTGCTGACATTTTGCGTTCAGTTAAAATACAAAGTATCTAAAAGTACAAGGAGAAATGTTTCATCAGTACAATTCTATGTCATCTTATATTTTTTCTTCGGTTACTGAAACTATCAGTAATCTTAATAATATGCAAAGAATGCAATTCGTAAACATCTGTCACTGTCGTCTGATACAAGTGTAACTAAGTTCATACAGTAATGATGGCCACATATTTTTATTTAAAAACTCCAGGATCCTCAAATAAACAAGTTGCAGTTATTTTCTATTAGCGTGCACGTTTCCTTCCTTGAACAGTATGACTAATATTATAAAACAATGTTTAGCAAGCACTATATTCAAAAGTTGAGATAGAGTTAAATGCAGAAATTAAGCGCAAGCTTCTACTACCAGTGCTATTTTTCATTCTTTATTCTGCTTATAGAGTTTTGCGCTTAAGTTGATATCTAACTTATTATCTTGACCCTATTGTACTATATTTATTTTTTTTGTACTTGTACTATAATTTGATGATGAATACCCTTGTGAAAAGAAAAGAAAATGCCCGTGACTCATTTGCTCGTCAGTTGGTAAAAAAGTCGAGAAATAAAAAACATAACAGATTCCTCCATTGTAACGAGGCCAAAAATCTGACGGTACCACTTTGTTTCATGCCCAAATTTTACAAAATTCATACCGTCATCATTCTATTTTATACATAATTTCAGAAGAAGTCTAAGTTATTATGATCATTTATATACTGATGGTAGAAAAAGATTAAAGATTTTTGTTTCAACCTGTTAGGTCTGAGTTCGTTCAGTTCAATTCTTTTCGTATCAAGAAAAATCTTAAAGCAAAGTCATTCGTGGTTGCATACAGCTTCATTTTATTAGGATAATGGATGGTATGGATGCTGATGGAAATTTATTTTGCACTGAGATAATCTTTCGATAGTATGTTCTTTTTGTTTATGTTAGTAATATGGTCAATATATAGAAAAAGATAGATAGTCTTTTACATATTTATTTTAAAAAAGCTCAAAAAAAACTTTTTAGTTTAGAACGAAAAAAATATTTTGTATTGTATTCACGGTGTTTCTTTAATAAAATTCATTTTCAAATTAGAGATGTCGTACATAGTAGATATTCGTCGTATATTTAAAAAAATAGAATTTCTTTGTAAAAAAGAAATTTCTTTATTTCTGATTGGTCAGTACCGTCATTTTCTCTTGTAAATTAATAATCTTGATAATAAGTTAAGTTTCATGAAAGCCATGGCATGTCTATTGGCGAAAGATTATTGTAAACTTTTTTAGAGTGTGCCTAACTAAAACGTTAACTTTTGCTAAAGATTGTCTGCCAAAATTTAAATTTCTTTGTAATCATCGGAAAAAAATAGGATTTACTAACCAGATGGGGCTAGACGCGGTTGTATTGTGTTCAATAATAAAAGATGACGCAGTGCTACGCGGTTTGAAAAACAGGCGGTAATAATTACGTCTTCTCTATAAACCAAAGATTTTATCAATATTTATTTTATCAATAAAGATTTTTTGAGTTGAAACATTTATGAATACCACTACGATTTTTAACCTCGGTTAATGAGACTTAAATGTTAAACAATTCTTGTTCTTAAGATGCACAGAATTCAAACTTCGAATGAAACTTATTTTTGACTTTTCCACATATCATTCGATTTTTTTCGAGAATTTGACGTTGATCACGAATATAAGTGACCCTATTTTTTGAAAAAAATTTTACCGGTCGAAAAATCAGGAAAATCCCAGAGGTGTCCGTAGCTTCAAAAAAGTAAGATTTTAGAAAAATGGCTATAACTTTTTCGCGTTTTGCTTTCAACGCTCGTGCTAAAGCTTTTTGAATTCAGCGTCAATAACTAAATCTAGAAAAGTAATTTTCAAGGTTTTTTCTAAATCAGAGACGAAAAGTCGTAATTCTCTTCGTAATTCTCAATCTTCTCCAACAGAACGCAACTTCTATGGAATACAAATATCATATTTGGAACCAGGATCAAAAGACAAATCGACCGATGTGTATTTTGAAATTTTTTGTTCATTTTTATTTTTCTACGTGAAAATTCGAAAAAAATTAAAATATTCGGATAGGATAGAGATACATATCACTCGATTCGTCTTTTGATCCTGATTCCAAATATGATATTTTTATTCCATAGAAGTTGCGTTCTGTCGAAGAAAATTGAAAATTACGAGAAGAATTCCGACTTTTTCGCCGCTGATTTAGAAAAAACGATTTTTCTTATGAGGAAACGTTCTTAAGTGCTCCCTAGCTTTTTCAACGACACCTAGTGGGTTGTAAGTTATTGATGATGCCGATTCCGAATATGGATACGAGAGCTGCTCTTAGGGCTTCGAAGACCCGGTTTACAGAAATTCAAAATTCCGTCTAGGCGCATCTTCAAATTCGCACTAAAGACTCTACAGTATCTGTAGATTATCCAGCCAAAGTTTGAAGGTTAACTATTGTGTGGTTCTAGAAATTCATTTTGGACGAGCACCCACGATTGAAACATACGTAGAAGAGCGAGGGAGATGAACTAAGGATCACTCTTTGTACTACAGTATTTGCATTGAATGTAGGTCATAATCATGAAAAAATAATCATGGAAACCTATGATTCCGAAAACATAGGTGAAAGTTTTGTCAGAAAAATTACACACTTACGTCTAACCTTCGCTATTTCACTTATTTGGCGTCCTTTTCACTCTTCATACATATACCGCTGCACGACGATGACATCATAATGTTGGCGAGATAAGAGAAAGAGAGAGGAGTCTTTTAGAACGAGTCTAAATGACATTATAACAATGGTAATATGTGTAAAAGTTCAGCCCGTATAAGTACGGGCCCCGGCACGAAATGGTTAAGAACGTTCCCTCGTCAGCGAAGAAAAAAAATTTCAAAAATCTACTCATATACTTTTGAAGAGGAGCAGACAGCGGATCGAGCCATGTAAAAATATTGTCTCTGGGATCTCGAAATGAAACAAAATAAGGTTTGCAAAAACCGGTTCGGATTTAGAGTCCTGTCTGTTTCGAATGCTGTGAAAAAAACATTTTTCGCTTCGAAACCTTGAAACTTATTTTTCTAGATTCAGTTATTGATGCTGAATCCAAAAGACTTTAGCACGAGCGTTGAAAGCAAAACGCAAAAAAGTTATAGCCATTTTTCTAAAACCTTACCTTTTTAAAGCTACGAACACCTTTGGGGTTTTCTCGATTATTATCTTGCTGTAAGATCTTATAAGATTCTTGTACGATTCCGTCTGATTTTGCAAGATTCACATAAGAATTTGTAAGATTCTGTAAGAAACATAGAAACTGATTCTCGATATAAGATCTTATAGTAAGGTTTCATCAGATTTCGTAAGATTCTTGTATGATTTTTATAAGATTTTATAAGATGGATCCATTTCTATGATTTTCCGTAAGATCTTGATCTGACTTTTTGACCTGGGTTGGTAATTTAAGTTTTTGGATAATCAAGTCAATGCAACATCTTTTTTTATTTTTACATTTTCTAATGCTTGTTGCTCCGCTTTTCTTCTCGATTCATCACGATAATGTTTATCATTATGTTAATGAATAAAAGTTATGAAATATTGTTGTATATTCTTTGCGGTCACTTCGCTCTGTTCTTTCATAAATGAATATATATATCTGCCTAGCCAGTGCCATGATCGAAGGAGGTAGGAGGTATAAGAGGTGTACGCCTCGACTGCTTTTGAAAAAAAATTTTCTATTTAGCAATCTTTTTTTTCCCAAGAATTTGGTCTGAGCTCTTGCCCAGATTTGGTAACCAATCTAATCAAAATTTAACAAAAACATGCTTTCTTCCACTTTATCTCCCAAAATAGTTGAGAACAAAATTTTTCTCCCACTTTCCTTCAATGAGAAAAAAAGCTCAAATTGATATCAACATTATCATTATCATTTAGTTATTGTGTTGAAATTATGATGATAGATGATGTTGTGTTCTATAAGTTTCTCTCAAATAAATTTACACCCCTTCTGCTTTTTTCTCTCGCCACGCTACTGCTGTCTCACTTTTACAACTTCTACATCTGCTGATGATGGATCGTACTAATTTGAAAGCTCATGCTTGAATAAATAAATTTAAACAAATTTAGCTGCTAGAAAAAAAAGACTAAAATACAAAGTTATTTTTGAAAGAATTTCATGTTCTTTTATTTAAATTGCATACTAGAGCTATCCGTTTTTTTGTCTATTTTTAACCGAATCGAGATAAAATCGTCAATAAATACTTGTATTAAAATAATAATCTTTTTTTTTGCTATCAAGAACAAGTATACAAAAAAAGAGAGATACACTGTTTGACAAATCTTGCATAAATCAGTTAACTGATATCAAACATACACATTAGTAATCAAAAGATGGAAAATAGCAACCATTTTTCACTGATTTTGCCATTCAATTGGTCGATTCTGTCAGACTTTTTTTTCAACATGCTCCAATTCTGCAATCAAATTATTCTAGATTAAAGAGTCTTACTATGTGCTAACAAGTTTTACGTAGAAAAGTCAATTTCTACATACGAAAACTTTCACTTATGCAACACAAGTAGACCTGAACTTTTTCTTAAATAGTCAATAAAAGCTAGATGATAATACTTTGTTGTTTCAGAGAAGAAAAAAAAAAAGACAAAACATTAACAAAAACGAAAGACAAGAAATACAACGGGAATGTACGCCAAAACACTAAGATAAATAAAACAATTGCAACAAATATTAAACAGACAAAAAATATCGCTATATAATTGATAAAATACTAATAGAAATAATATTTCACTGTTTATACTGTGGTTTTATTTAATTGTTGTGTACAAAAAAAAAAGCAAAAAAAAAAGGCAATAATCAAAATATTACTCTTCATTGGCAAGTGAATCCATGCTTCCTTGTCCTTCACCCATTCTACTTGATTGAGTTAATAGTTGATACAATTGTTCATCATGTAAACAACCGTCAATAAATTCCTCTCGTGAAAGTATTCCATCCGAATTCTTGTCCATCATTGTAAAAATATTTAAAGCACGTTCTTCGGACTCAACTTGACGTTCACATTTATCAATTTCATCACCAATCAATTCGTATATAGCCTAAATATGTTAAAGTTTTTATATGATCTAATTTCTTGCCGTCATATACAATAGTATGATCAGTATGAAATCGAAAAGGTTTTGTTAAAAAAATTTAGAATATTTCGTCAGACATTAAAACAAAAGAACGTCCAAAATATTCTTACTCCTATAATTCTTCTCATTTCAGTTTCGTCAATACTTCCATCACCATTGCAATCATACATTCGAAATGCCATTTCTAATTTTTTATCTGGGGTTCCTAATAGATGATAAATTAATATTGAACAAAGATATATGAACAATAAAAATGATTTAGCAAACCTTGCGATGTAATATTGATTGCTTGTAAAAATTCTTTGAAATCAATCTTACCACTATTATCTAAAATTTATTTTATTTATATAATAGTTTAAAATTAAATAGATATATATTTATAATTCGACATACCAGTGTCAAAGGCTCGAAAAACATGTTCACAAAAATTTTCTGCTCGACCTTTAGGAAAAAATTGTTTATAAATTTGTATAAATGAGTCACGTGTTAATTCACCCGATGGACAATCTCTCTATAAAACAAAAAAAAATATTCATTTTTTTAATTGTAAATTTTAAAAATTATCTATCTTACCATAAAACCTTTATACCAAGTTTTAATTTTTTTCTCAGAATAACTTGTATGTGTTTTTAAAAATTCAAGATCATCTTCTGAAAGATGGTGTTTGCTGCTCGTACAGCCCATAAAGCCAGGGATAAAACATCAGGACCTGTATAAAAAAATATAAAACAAAAAAAAAGAAGATAAAGAAAAGAATGTTGTTAGAATAATTAAACATGTGTAATCGTGAAAAAAAAAAGAAGAAGAAGAAGAAGTCATCCTATCTCTATGGAATAATTATCTATACATGTTTTCTATTGGGGGAAAAAAGGAAAAGTTTATTAATTCGTTTTTCTGTTTGAACACAGACCACGTACAAAAAATTTCGAACGAGAAAAACAGTACTCTATTGTGAATAATTTTATTACTCAATTAATGTCATAAAACAAGAAACGACATGGAGAGATAATTCAAAGGTTAAGAATAAGAAACATCTATAAATCATTGTTGAACACAAGATTGCATCTATCAATAAATAATACATTTCACTACGATTTGCATGAAATATTTTCTAAGTTACCATATTGACAATCAAATTGAGTGTGTATATGTCAGAAAAAAATCATCTTTATGAGTATTGACATCAATTGCTAGTTATTGAAATCAATCAATTTTAGAACATCCACTTACATTCACCCACTAACTCCCCCTCATTCTAAGAAACAATATCATCAATCAAGTTTTGAATAATAATGACTAATACAAAATCTATTAGTAAAATTAGAATAGAAAACTATGAGAGATAATACGAAAATATTCTGAAATGAATAATTTTAAATTATTATCGTTTTTTTCTTTTTTTTGTTTTTTATATTTTTTCAATCGAAAAAAGTTCGAAAAAACAAAATAAACTTATCATCTTCTCGATAAAAACGTTTTCATTTTTATTCTAACATAAAAAACAGGAAATTGTCTCAATAAAAAAAAAATTTTTTTTTTTCCTGCATTTGATGAACACGAATGATGTCTGTATTTCGACATTCCCAATCACAAAATAACAATCAATTTTTATGCTTATTTCATAATAGTTTATTGTATCAAACGAAATACTATCCATCAATTGTTATCTTAAAAAGAAAACAATATTGGAAAAAAATAAACTAAACAATAAGTTCGAATGTTGCACCACCGTTTAACAGAAAAATAAACAAACGATTATTTCATTTTAATTCAAAAAAAAAAAAAAATTTTTTTTTTTTGAAATATACTAAACTAATAATATTTTACCATGTACACATAACGTTTTTTTATAGTTGGATAAATCAAAAAATATGTGCATTCTTTTAAGCAGTTGTCTTAGTTAACAATAACACATTATCTCTATTTTACTATTTATTATTTTATCACACACGCACACACAACCATTCTTGGCTTTATCTTTTTTCTTTAACAGGATGTAAATCAAACAACTCTAGAAACAGATCAATGCGATGACGTTTTCTGATCAAATATATATATATATATATATTCTATAGTAATAATATTCGAGCTTTTTATTCCAGCACTCAAAGTAATTCGGTTTTTTCCATCACATTATAGTTGCTGTCAACAGAATACCTCTCTAGATTATCCAAAAAAAAACACAAAAAGAGTAGAAAAGTTGAAGGTCAATATATTCTTTATGAAAATTTTAAAAAAGTATGTCTCAGATCAAGAAAAAATGGGCTCAATAATAGTCCATTCAACTAATATTATCTAAGTGTAAAATTTTCATTGAATAATCAATTATTTATTAGTGAGACACATATATAATATTCTATTGTTACGACGGTTATATGTCATTTTTTGTTTCTGTTTACTAAAATACATAAAATATATCAGTTGTAATCTCTGTTGACAAAAAAGATAATTGTTAGACATGTAACAATATGGGAATAAATTAACTCTATTAAATTCATCAATAGTTATCCATCAATATTAATGTTTTATAAAGAGAAAAAAAAAAAAAACAAGTAAATGATTGTGGAAATAGAAAAAATATGTTACTTTCATAAAGTAAGATGTATAATATATAGTATTCGAGAAATATTTATATATAATCTTATTTTATTATGGAATAAAAACCTAAAATGATCAAGTGTTGACTTTTTGCCAATAATACGGAGAATTATCAAAAAAACATCAAAAACATGATAATATTATTCTTTTCAAAATAATAAAAATCTATCATAAAGAATGGTTCATCACATCTTAAAATCCATTATCACATACCGATAATGTAATAATCGAGAATTTTTTGAATTAGCTAAATATTGAAAAGTATTTTTGTTTTTAACGAAGAATCAAATAAATTTTTCTATATTAGGCAAAAAGTTAAATTTTAAAATAGACTTTTTCGAAAGAAAATATGAATCTATAACAGATCATAAAAAAATTGAATAAAAAAACTCTTAAATCTAAGATGATGTATAAAAACGTTATATTTATCATCTAATGAGAAAAGTGATAGAACCACTCTACACAAACAACATGAGGATAAAAAGAAAATAAGCACAGTCTTTTCATACATAAAAGAAAAAAGGACCATAGAATTATTGACATTAACATCAACTCGTTAAAAATCAGATATATGGCGGCAATAATAATCCCTTATAAAAGCTATATAGTGTCAAAAATTAACAGCATTTCATATATCGATGCTAAACTAAGGAAGAATTTTCTATTGACTTATAGGTAATAATCAAAAGATATTCGAAAAAACTTAAATGGAATAAGTAAATTTTCTTTTTATCAATTGTGATTTTTAAAGGAATACAGAAAATTATTGTCTAAAATACAAAATTGAATTATCTAATATAGTATATTAGACCGATAAATTTGTCATGGTACACACTAAGAAAAAGTGATGTATCTTAAAAAGAGATCCATTACAAATGAGTTGGCTGTAACTAATTCATAATCGATTTACGTATCATATTTATCCATCGTATTCTAGTGAAAAATAGAATCTTAAAACGAAATTTATCGTCCTTGTAAGTAGAATACAAAATTATCAAATGTTACAATTTCGATGGAATTGTTTCCCTTTTTTTTATTAGTAATTCCATCAGAGTATTTGTCTTACTTTAGGATAAACAATTTATCCCATTATTTTGTCAAGAAAAAATTATATAACCGTAGTTAACACATAATGTTACTTTATAGTTACAAATATTAGAATTTGCAAGACCAGTATGAAATATAATAATATTTTTATGATACCGTTTATTTTTGAATAGTTGTGTATTTAGTTTGTTGAGTGAAATTTTTTCTATGATGAAGGAGTTTAGTTTTATACATTGTCTAGGAAGAAAAAGCCGTTTATAATTGAGTTGTTATTTTTATTCTTTTAAATTTCTTATCTTTAACCTTGGTAGGACTGTGACTAAACTCAGTACTGAGCTTCCATAGTATCTAAAAAAGAATGAAGAAAAAACTAAACGATTTCTTTTTTTTTTTTTTGAAGAAATTTTAAACAATTTTTTTTATTGTAGTAATAAGATGGATGCAACTTGTAGAAATATAACAAACACTCCTAAGCTAAGATAGATGAAGGGGAAAAAAAAATTTGGATTTTTATGTAGCACAGAACCGTTTTTGTCGTGCAATATCATAGACTAAACTTGAAAACACTTTTTCGATCGTATAAGCAGTAGCACATATATGACAGTACCGTAGCGAAAAGAATTTTCAATAAATTTTCGTTAGTTGACATCTTATTCATTCTCAGAAACTTACGTTTTTATTTATTTATAAATATTTGTGATTTATAATTAAAAAGCTACTGTTACTGATATGTGTCATCATTGAAGAATGTTTACTACTTAACTTCCACCGAATAATTTAAAAGATGAACAAAAAGAATTTTACAAAATTGTTTTAACTTCAGATTATCATTGTTAAAGTAAATACATCTAATTTTTCATATTATAAGTAGAAAATAATGTCTTCAAGATACAGAAATGTATGTGATGTATTTCAATAGAGAAAAATCTTCTAAATTGAATGGGTAAAACGTTTTTTTTAAGTTTTATTCTAAATGAACGAGAGTCAATCTGTTCAAATTATATTCATCTTTATCGAACATCAGAATACGCCAAGAGCAATTTGCTACTGTATTAAAACAACATCATTTCACTGTCTAAACTTTTTTGCTGCATATGTGTGAATTTTTATTTTATCTAGTGTTACATTTAAACAAACTTTAGCTTTTTTGTAATTTCCATATGTTCTTCAGAAAAATACATTTATTTATTCATTCATTCAACAGCAAACAAAACTTTTTGCTCGTATATAGAAAAAACTCGCACGAAAACATACGTAAAATAGACATCAAATTTAAAATTAAAAAAATGCAAAGATAAGATCTATGCAATTAATATGTTATAGCTCTGAGATCATTGACTATATTTTGTCTTAGAAGTATGTTGTCATTTTATATGATAAAAAGTCAATTATTGACAACTAGGCATTTTTTACATGTAATCCAGTAAAAATTTTCTTTATAGGAGAAAAAAGTTTATTAAATATATCTTGTTCGAGAAAATTGGACTCTTGTTCATTTAGAACAAAATTTAAAAAACGTTTTATCATTCGATTTAGAAAATTTTTCCCTATTAAAAACACATAAAATATATTTCTGTATCTTATAGACGTTACTCTTTCAAGCTAAATTATCAAAAATTAGATGCATTAACTTTGTTTCTAGCAGAATATTTGAGAAAATAACAACTCTAAGGTATCAGCAATTAAAATAATTAGAATAGATAGATAGATAGTCATATTCTAACAAATGATATTCTCGAAAGTTTAAGTTACAACTACTTTTTAATATCATTTTACAGTTGACAAATATAACATCTATAATTTTTCAAAATTAAAAGTATCTGTATGTCTTTAGATCGATTTTATCGATCATTTTTGTATTTTTTTATAGTATAAAAATGTAACCATCGACGATTGATTTTGTAGTGTCTAGTTTTCTTTAATAATTCCCTTTATATATATATATATATATATTAAAATTCATTTTTCTTTTTGTCTTTCTCTTTTTATTTTTTATTTCGAACTTCTTCATATATAAAATATAACTATTATCCAACGAC